AGTCACCAGACGGGGCCTCAAAGTCCCTCCCTTGTTGGAGATGTTCTCCTTCTTTTAATGTGCCCAACTAGCTTTGGGGAAGCGCCATTGCATTTCTGATTCATGTTTAGCCTGTGGCACGCTCGGGTCCCTGAGCCCTGTTCACGCCTGCTTCTGTTAATCCCTCCATCCTAAGGCAGCTGAGGGGGTGCAGGCACTGCAGCCAGGTGAGATGTGAGCTCGAATCCTGACTGGAGCAGATCTGTCAACACCTCCCTTTGTGGAAGGTGGCCGTGAGGGTTGGACATGTCCCAGGGAGTGTCTGATAGAAACGTCACCGAATAAATGGAAGTTTCTATGGTCACTTCTGCCACATCTACCTCTTCCTGTCCACCTCAGAGGGACACCAGCCGACCCACAGGAGGGAGAAAAAAGAGACCCCTGGACACAGCCCTGCACCCCCGGGAGGGTGTTGGCTGTTGGTTCCCCCCCAGCTGTGCTTGTGGTTCTTTGTAAACAGTGTCACTGAGGTGACCGTCGAGTTCTATCTCCAGGGAGGGTGGCAAGAGGAGGGAGGGTCTCCGTGGAGTCACTCAAGTCAAATGCCACCAAGAGGTCAACAGAGGACGGCCCTGGAATTGAGGGATTTTGAGATCACGAGGGACGTCAGAAGCAGGAGTGAAGCCTGTAGCAGATGAGCCAGGGCTGGTGGCCCCAGGTCGGTTGGAACCTCACCTCCCCTGGCCAAACCTCTCTGTGGCCTCTCACGAGCTCTGGCCGCAGACTGCGTTCAGCCTGGGGCGGGGCAGGGGGACTTTTCTTTTACCAGAAAAGGGTCACGGGGATAGTCCGGGTCGTGAGGTAGGGTTAAGGGTCAGCTCGCCTTCCCTAATGTGGACTTGGGGGCACAGGGACAGGGTGTGTCCCCTCCAGGAGGGGCCTGACCCAGCCACAGAGGAGCTGCAGAGAGCAAGGCCAGGCACCTAGATGTGGGGTCAGGCGCTGCGGCCGACCCTAAGTCACCGGAGGGAGCCTCAAAGTCTCTTCCCGGGTCACAGGAGCACCCCCTACCCTGAATCCCACCTCAGGCCTCAAAATGAAAGTGGGGCCCTGCACTGGCACTTCTCATCTGCTCTGCTGGGCTGGTGTGGGGAAGAGGGCGCTGGAGCTTTTAAACCACTTTTTACTGCAAAATAGGCCACGTCCCGGGGCTGAGTGCTCCCGGGGGCCAGCCTGGGGCCCTGACTGTGGATTTTAGTGGCAACTGTGTTCCAAGTTCTAAACTGCTGGCGCTCGGGCTGGTGTTGAGAAGGCTGGCCCTGGGGTCGGTGGCCAGAGGCGAGGCCGGCCCGCGGGTGGCTTCCTTTGGTTCCTTTGGTGATTGACTTAAGTCCTTTAGCCAACGAGCACTTATCACAAGAGCTTCCCTGATGAATCCTGGACCGGGTGTCCCTCCAGGAGCCCCTGCCAAGCCCACCCATGCCCCTGCCCCTGGTGGCTCCTCCCTCCTGGGCCTTGTTCTCCTCTTGAAACCGGATTCGGCCTAAGAGATTACCCCAAGGGTGGGGACGCCACAGGGGATGACACTCTCCCTTCAGGGACGCTGTGGCCGGTGACAGCAAGCCTGGCCCCTCTGCCTGCTGGGTCCTGCCCCGGGTTCCGCGTGCAGCCGCCAGCTTCCCCGAGCAGGGTCCGGGCTCAATGCCATGAGCCGTGCCAGCTGGAGCCCCCCCCATCCGTCCCTCCATCTCTCTTCTATAAAATGGGGCCACAGAGAGCTCTCCAAGTGCCGGAGGTCGAGGTCTCCTGAGCCCGGGGCTGCCAGGGCCCCCCCCCCCACACCGTCGTGGCCCCCAGGACTGTCCTCAGCAGCAGGCACCCAGAGGAGCGGCCGTTGCCTTTCAGGTTTTGGAGAGCAGCATAGCCCACGAGAAGAGGAAGGCCAAGGAGGCCCTGGAGTCGGAGCGACGGAGGGTGCAGGACCTGGAGAACCACCTGACCCAGCAGAAGGAGGTGCGAGCCAGAGCCAGGCGGCCCAGAGCTGCAGCGGCCAGGTCGGCCAACTCCTAGCGCTCAGGGGACAGCCGGGCAGCCCTGAGCCTCCCACCCTCGTGTCCTCACCTTTCAATGGAAACGCGGCCAGCCCCGCCCGCAGCAGTAGGTGTCCCTGGGTTGAAGTGCTTGGACGGCACCTGCATCCCCCGAGCTTGTCCTGCCCTGGGCCCACGCAGGGCCGAGGCGCCCTCAGCCAGCATCCTGCTCATCAGCATAGCCAGGCGGGGGACACCCCTGCCACACGGGGGACTCTAGAGGACCCGGGGCAGGGCCGCAGGCGGGGGCCTGGCAGGTCTGGGAGGAGCTCCAACGGAGGCCACATCCAATAAGGGCAGCCGCCTCCTGGGGCAGGTGAGGGGTGCAGCCTCACAGAGACAAAGCCCCGGGGGAGGTGAGGAGGGTCCCCAGTGCAGGAACCGGCAGAGAGGACACACCCGCCCACCCACCTGGGGACAGGCCACCAGACATCCAGCCTCAGCAGGAGGGGACAGGCAGGGCTGGGTAGATGTCACCAGCAACCCCAGTGGCATGTCCATGGGCAGCGGCGGGCAGAGGCAGAGGCCCACCTGGCTGCCCTCGGGGAACTCAGGGAAGCAGGTGGTGGCTCGGTGGCTCAGTGTCATTCATCACCCGTTTTCTCTGAGCACCTGTGTGTCGGGCCCTGCTCTGGGGACCCAGGACACCACAGGGCCACGCTGCCCACAGCCCCCGTCCCAGGTCAGGAAGACAGAACCCCAGAGGAAACGGCCAGGCCCGAGGACTGGCTAGAGAGTGGCCGACACCCATGGAGAGCTCTGAGGAGGTGACCCTGAGTGACAACTGGAAGGGGGATGGGACCTGAGCCAGCCAGGGCACAGTGGGGCCTGGAACTTCAGGGAAGAGCCAGAGAAGGAGGCAGGAGCTCGCTGGCGGAGCAGAGGAGGGGGCCGGGGCTCAGTGGGCCCAAAGAGCCGGTTCTGGGTGCCAGTCCTGGCTCTGTACCAGCACGCTGTGCGACCCTGCAAGCCCCTGCCCTCTCTGTGCCCTCGTCCATGATGGGGGCAGAACCACCCCAGAGGCCTGGGGAGAGGAGTCTGTGCTTGCAGGACACCCACCCAGGGAGGGCAGGGTCCAGGGAGGGCAGGGTCCAGGGAGCGGCAGGGCAGCCTTGCCACACCCGAGAGAGCAGGAAGGGCAGAGTGCAGCCAGGGTGAGGGACACGGACTCGGAGACTCGGCGAGGTGTGTTTCCCAAACTAGGCCACAGCTGCCCCAGAGCACCCCTTCCACGTGGGGCCCCGCCAGGCCAGTGCCCCCCCAGGTGTGCCCCCCCCCACCTAGGCGAGTGCCCGGCATGTGTGTCCTGCCTTCCGATGGGCCGCGGTGGAAATCGCAGGACCGAGAGGCTGGGTGCACAGTGGTGAGGGCAGGGCCCTGGTGGCCAGCTTCACGCCACTTCCTGGGGGGTGACGGGGACGTCACCTGTCCTCCTACTACCTCAGGCACAGCCTCCACTGTCTCACCTGTCGAGAGCGCCCCTGGACCAGGCTGGCAGGGTGATGCCCTCGAGCATTCCCCACACAGAGCAGGACGCAGGGCCTGGTCCCTGCTGGTCTCATCTGTGCTACGCTGAGCAGCACATGGCGTGAGAAGAGACGCAGAACAGGCTGGTGGCCTCTTAGGGCAGGCAGGACGTGGCAGTGGGACAAAGTGAGGCCAGAGCCCGGGGACGGTGGGGGAGGATGTGTGCAGGTGAGGCCTCGGAAGGCTCATCAAAACCTGGGAACACTGGGAACACGGTCTCTTCTTCAGGGCCACGTGCCTCCCAGTGTCCCCACCTCTGCCCCCTGGTTAAGACCTTCCCACCTGCCTGACATTCCCGGTAACAATTTCCATTCGTTCTCCTTTGTGACAAGAGCGCACAACCACTAAAGAAAAGTCAGCAGAGCAGTGGGAAGAGGGAATATAAGTGCCATGGTCCTGGTCCCCCGCCACCCAATGCCCCGTTTACACCTCAGTGACCCTGCTCCAGCCTCTGTCTGCACAGCACCCGGATATTTAAAACACCCGTCTTGTGGCCTTTCTGTTGGTGCTGGGCGGGCCAGAGCGGCAAGAGCGTCAATGGCAGCAGAGTGTCTCACCCCCGGGCTGGCTGGTCCTCCCCGGGTTGTGCAGGGGAGTCCCGGCCTCCACCCCGTGCCCAGGTCCGTGGACTGTCCTCAGCTCCACGCTGTCCTGGGCATGAATTCCCGAAACCCACGCCTTGGTATATGGGATGATTCTGCCTGTGTCCTTTGAAGCCAGGGACAGGAAGGGTAGGGACAGGAAGTGTGCCCCTGTGCTGTCTCTCTTCCCACACCTCCTAAGAGCCAGGTACTTCCCAGCCAGGCCTTTACTGGTGCCAACACATGCCAGTTCATTCCCTGGCTTGGCGCCAGATGATATGACCCTGGCACTCACCAGGATGTCATTTCCTGAATAACACCAGCCCCAGAATCCCGAGGACCGAGTCACTCCCTCCTTCGTGCGCGAGGCTGAGATCTGGCTCCTGGTTCTCGCCCTCCCTGAGGCTGCTCCAGGAGTCCACCCCTCGGCCAGGCCGGCCCTGGCTGCCTCACTGCAGCCCAAACCCCACCCCCCCCCGTCTTCCGCAGAGACTGGCCCTGGCCTCTCTCTGCACTGACGGTCCCCCCTTCCCTGCTCACCCCTCGTCCCTCACCCTTGACTCCCAGATCTCAGACAACAGCATCGCCTACGAGATTCAGAAGGCCAAGGAGGCCTTGGAGAAGGAGAAGAGGAAGGTGCAGGACTTGGAGAACCGCCTGACCAAGCAGAAAGAGGTATGAGTCTCGGCGACCAACGGCGGAAAGGGACCCAGGGTGGCCCTGTGCCCAGGGGCCGGTCAGATCCAAACTCTGCCTCCCTCTGGCTGTGGGTCATTAGGCAAGTTGCTCGCCATCTCTGTGGGACCCATCCTGGGTCCCAATCGTGCAAAGCACACACACGTATGCCACGAGCAGTATCCAGAGTAAAGCAGGTGTCACCTGGTCATCGGGTGAGATTTGCCTAGAGGCAAATGAATCCCAAAGGACTTGGAGCCAGTGGGGACCAAAGAGGGTCCCTAGCTCACATCCGTCTTGGGTCATTTACTAGCATGCATCAGACTCTCTGGGGAACTCACTCCAAGTCCCTCTTCAGGCCGCACCCCCAGAGTTCTGACTCGCAGGGCGCAGGGCCGACTCGGGAATCTGCAAGCTCTGCCCAGTGGAGCAGGGGCCCTGAACACGGCCCAGGAAGAAGGTTGACGCACACATGCCACCACACAGCCCCGGGGCACCTGGCACATGCACAGAGAAGGCAGAGGTGTGCAAGACCCAGGGCTGCCCACCGCGTGGGGGGAGGTGCCCAGGCCACACGGGGGCTCCAGGGGAGCAGTCTGTTTGTCCCCAGGCTGGGTCCCCAAATGATGTGCCACAGAGTTTAAAAAAAAAAAAAAAAGGGTGTGTATCATGAAATCAACGAATGAGTCGTGACTTTATTCTAGAAGTTACTGGGTAAGGCAAAGCCTGTGCTGCCTACCAGGCCAGAACCGTCCAAGCCACAGAAACGGGACTGTTCTTGGTGCTGGCCCCAGAGAACCTCTCCAAGGCTCACTGAATGGAACACCCTGTAGAGCAACAAGGACCGTCCTCAAGGACACCCCAGAGGGGACAGGGACATCCAAGGGTAGGTCTGTGACAGTCAGCAGCTGGCTTCACACCAGACCAGGAGGAGCAGAACTCCACCCAAGGACCCACCATGTGCCTGCAAAGACCAAGGGAACAGCAGGACTTGGGTCTGAGCAATGGTTGGGTTTTTTGTTGTTGTTGTTGGATTTGAACCCAAAAATGAAGCAACAAAAGCGAAAATAGATTAAAGTCATCAAAATCGAAAGCTTCTGTGTGGCAAGGAAACAACAGGATAAACAGACAACTTGCAGACCGGGAGAAACATACTTGAAAGATGTACATCTGATAAGTGGCAATGTCCAAAATTTACAAGGAACCCAAACAGCCCTGTGGAAAGAAATAACCCAATGAGATGTTTCATAAAAGACAAACAGTGGCCAACTGACACCTAGAAAATGCTCCATCCACATCATCAACCACCAGGGAACACAAATGGAGCCCCCGTGGGATACCACCCCACACCCGCCAGAAGGGCCGTTATAGGAAAAGCTACCCGGTGTCGAGCAGGATGGGGGGAAAAGGGACCTTGTGTACCATCAAATTGGCATGGCCACTGCGGAAAGCCACAGAAAACTAAAGATCATGCTAAGCAAAATAAGCCAGCCACAGCAAAACAGATGCTGTGTGCGCTCCCATACACGCAGAACCTAGTCATCCAACTCACACAGCAGATCACAGCAAGCTGGGGAGGAGCCCGGGGCAGGCAAGGGGTAGATGTACGCCAGTATCACACGCCTCGCGCAGGAGTAAGCTGGGATTTTTTTTCTTTTGAGATCCATCGCACCAAGTGATGACCATAGTAAATAATAGTGTGTTGTACACTGCTGAGAGTACATTTCAAATGTTTTCACACACACACAAAAAAAATAAGTATTGGAAGTGATATGTTAATTAGCTTGACTTCATTATTCTGAAATGACATTCTGCATTATATTAGTCATAGAATTATTTTGTACCCCATAAATACAGGTGATTATAATTTGTCAATTTACAATAAATTTTTTAAATTAAAAGAATATTTAAAACAAAAAATAGAATTTGACTTCTCTGAAATTCAGAGTAAATCTTTTTTTGGGAGTAGGTTACTGGGGATTGAACTCAGGGACACTCAACCACTGAGCCACACCTCCAACCCTAGTTTGTATTTTATTTAGAGACAGGGCCTCACAGAGTTGCTTACGCCTCGCCGTTGCTGAGGCTGGCTTTGAACTCGTGATCCTCCTGCCACTGGGATTACAGGCGTGCACCTCCATGCCAGCTCAGAGTAAATCTCTGAAGAAATGAACAGAGAATTTTTTTTTTTAAATAGGTCACTGAGTATCCTCTGTAACTAAACGTATTTGAAAAGCAGCTTTTATCCCCAACCAAGGTGAATGCATGCCAACATTTGATATTCAAAATATTTCAATAGGTAGTTAATGATGAAAATAATTCCATTTCAAAACAAAATGTTCTTTTGTTCTATTTCCAAATTTGTGGATGTGTCTGTTTGAAGTGTGCTTTGATATTTTAAGGTGAATCCTCGCAAGCTCATTGTGATTTGCAACAACTGGTTTCTTTTAATTAGAAGTTTTAATCTGTATATGCAAAAAATAATTTAGGAAATGAGAAAAAAAATATAAGATGAAGATTGGTGTACGACTCCAAATGTCACCACTAAGTCCTGATTCTGAATCCGCGTTTGGGGCCCATCTTCGAAAATCTCCTGGCTGAACTTGCAATAAGTACCTCTAACCAATCTGATATTGCAAATTGCAGATGCTCACCTAACAAAAGGGCCCTCCAGACACACAGGGGGCTTACTGGCGTACACAGAAGAGCAATAGAAAGCTAGATTTCACCTGCAAAGGTAAAACAGACAAAAGAGAGCAGAAAAGCAAACCAGTTTCACACCAGAGGGGCGGTGACGGCCGTGCCAGGCCTCTCCAACCTTGGGCAGAGACCAGGCAGCTTCGTGGCCCACCAGAGAACAGCTGTGCTGGAGGGAGAGTCTAGGGGCGGCGTGAAGAGCCCCCCAAGAATCAGACGGAGCTCCGCGGGGGCTTGGGGAGCAAGAAGCAAGCCCCAGCGGAGGCTCCGGAAGAGCCGGATGAAGGTGGTGTCTGCATTTCGTTTTTTCTTTTTTTTTTCTTTTCTTTTTTAAGTACAGTTTCCCCTCCTGATTGTCAGAGGAGCCTCTGGCTTCCCCAAACATGTGAAAAATACAAAATCTCACTCAGGAGAAGAAAAAGCTAACGGTGCTGTCCCCAGCGGGGTCTTGATGTGATTCCGCCTGGATGCTGAGCATGATTAGGGATGTAGATAAATATGGATTTATCATGAAGTCACTGGTTTATGCACTGATTTGGAAGCTGTTTTTTCTTTTAATTTTGTTAGCTTTGTAGTTGGACACAATAGCTTTATTTTATTTATTTATTTTTATGTGGTGCTGAGGATGGAACGCGGGGCCTCGCCTGTGCCAGGGGAGCGCTCTGCCCCTGAGCCCCAGCCTCAGCTGGGAGCTGTTTCTTTATAGGTAACTAGCTGTCCAAGGGCCTCCGTATTGCCCAACAATCTTCTACCACCAGCCACTGAGGGATGGCCTGGGTGTGCCCCGATGGATCCCAGTTTATCTGCCCCTCCTCATAGCCAGGCCCTGTGGTTTTTTTCTCCATTTTCAAGGGTATAAAAGACACTGGACTAAGCACCCCATGTCCCAGGCTGGACATCCTTGGGATCAAGTCCCAAAAACGGAACTGCTGCTGGGCACAGTGGCGTAGGCCTATGATCCCAGCAACTTGAGAGTCTGAGACAGGAGGATCTCAAGTTCAAGTACAGCCTCAGCCACTGAGCAAGACCCTGTCTCAAACTAAAAAATAAAAAGGACTGGGGATGTGGCTCAGTGGTAAGGCACTCCTGGGTTCAAGCCCTGGTACCAAAAAATAAATAAATAAATAGAACTGCTGGGTCCTGGAATATTAACATTTGCAGATCACAGTGTGTTCCCAAGGAATGTTCCAGAAGGACCATACCCATTCACATTGCCACTGATGATGGAGAGTGCCCACTAGAGTGTCTCAAGATTATCTGGACCGTCATGTTTGGAAGACTTCACACCCTGCCTGCTAAGAAGCCCGGGTCCACCCTGTCTGACCAGCCACAGGGACTCTGCCCATCCAAGGCAGGAAGAAGGGGTTCCAGCAGGCGGAATGGACGCAGCAATGGGTGTCCTATGTGGCCAGGGCCTGGGGGGCCAGCGGGGGGGGGGTGGCCAACCCAGTGCCAAAGCCCCGTGGGAAAGCAGAGTGTCCCAAAGGCAGGCCACGCTGCGGAGGGTGAAGGAATTCGGCTCATTTATCCCGGAGAACAGACTTAGAGACCTGGCAGCCCTCCTCGGCTATTTAAAGACTGTCTCATAAAAGAGAAATCAAACGTACTCCCCGAGCTCCAGGTGTCGGAAGTAAGCCGGGAGACCAGAAGTCCCAGGGAGACAGACGTCAGCTGAGCTCGAGGAAGAGCCGTGGTGCGGTGGGAACCTTCCGGCGAGGCGTGGACCTTGGGCCTCCCAGGAGCGGCCGAGTGGAGTTCCCGCCCTCCCTGAAGACGGCGGCGGGGCCAGGAGGCTAGAGTTGACCCTTAGTGCTGAATGTCTGCTAATTTGATGTTTGCTGTTTGTCTAGGAAATAGAATTAAAAGGGCAAAAAGAGAACTCTTTAAATAATAAATTAAGTGATGCACTGGCCATGGTAGAAGAGATTCAGCAGATCAAGACAGCCGAAGGCCTCAGAGCAGAGAGCCTCTCCCTGAAGCTAAATGAGTCCTTAGCCGAGCTGGAAACTGCCAAGACAAAGCTGGTAAGTGGTGGCCTGCAGGGGCAGGGACGGGAGAGAGTGCCCCAGGGGAGGATGAAGTGTCCCTCCCAGCCTCAGCTGGGTACCTCTTTCCTGCTGGGAGCCACTCTGGGCGCTGCAGGAGGCTGAGTGGCATCCCACTCTCTACCTGCTGCATGCCGCTTCCCTCCTCCCAGGGGTGACGACCAAAAAATGTCTCCAGGTGTTGCCAGTGTCCTTAGAGGCAGAACTGCCCCATGAGAAACGCTGGTGTGGCGTGAAAGGTCACCTGAGGCTGAGGCCTCCTGCAAGTCCTCTGAGATGGAGGCCAGGGGCTGCACAGCCCCACGGGGAAGGAGCAGGAGCCTGGGACCTAGTGATCCGCCACTGCGCCGCAGACCCTCAGTCAAGGCTTTCAGCTGCGGTGGGTGCCCGAGGCCCTGGCGGACGGGGTCCCGCACTGCTCTCCTCTGTCACTGGCACATCCAGCCAGCAGCTCCACGGGCGAGGGCCTGATGAGGTGAATCTACCGGAAATCCAAGTAGATCAGGGAGCAAGCCGAGAGGCCGGCTCAGCCGGGCACGTGGTGGACGCAGCTGTAGGTCAGATTCACAGGGACCTGGATGCTCAGGGCTGGGGAGAGCGAGGGAAGGGAGGGGCCTGGCGGCAGGCGTTGCCATGACAGCGCTTGATAAAGGCTCAAGCTTGAAGCCAGGGCAGCTGGGGCCATGATGGCAGGCGAAGGGCACCTTGGTGGGAACGGGGAGGGCCTGGTGGGGTCCTCCCAGGGAGCGAGGTGGTGAGGAGCGGCAGGTAGCAGAGCTTAGCGCTGCCCCACTGGCACCGTTCAGCAGATTTGGGAAGGGAAGAAGGGGAATCGAATCTGGAGGGGTCTCACGGCAGACTGTCACAAAGTGGGCACAAATGGGCTGTCCCAACAAAGAAGTCACACCTCAGGAGACCAGAGGCCGGGCCCAGGTAATAGGGAGCAGGGGCCAGAGAAGCAGGGTCAGTCGAAGAAGCGGGAGGGAGGGAGGAAGGGGCAGAAACACCAAGAAGGGCCTCAGGGTGGGGGTCGGATTCGCCATTCAGGGGCCTTGGTGACTTCTGTTTTTAAGAAGTCCCAATCCATTGGCTTTTATCCTTATAAAATTTTTCATTCATTCCTATTGATCAAGAATCTGGGTCTAGATGGGTGGGCCCAGCAGTCAATGAGAAAAGACAAGTTTCTTCTGCCGCGGAGTCGAGTTCTAGCAGGCAAAGAAACAACAGAACAAGCTCACTTCAGGTGGTGGGAACACTAAAACAGAAAATTAAACAAATCAAATAGAAAGTGTCTCAGACCCCTCTTGTAGACGGGTGATCGGGGAGGGCTCTTTAAGAGGATGTTGGAGCTGAGACCTGAAAGACCAGAAGGGGTGGATGAGCCATGGGAGGAGCCAGGGAAGGGGAGCATGCCAGGTAGAGGGAACAGCACAAGCCAAGGTCCTGTGGCCAGACCAGCTCAGCACCTGTGTTGTGCAAATGAGAACCAGTGTCGACGTCATCACATCCAGCTCCCACGTCACATAACCATTGCCCTGTTTCCCCAGATCATGATGGAGGAGCAGATAATACTACAGCAACTGACGGTAAAGAGCCTGCAAGACCAGAGGGAAACCCAGAAACACGGATTCGAAGAGGAAATCCAAGAATACAAGGAGCAGATCAAACAGCACTCACAGACGATTGTGAGCCTCGAGGAGAGACTCCAACGAGTGACCCAGCACCATAAGAAAATAGAAGAAGAGATTGCAACCCTGAAGGTCAATAACCCAGGTAGGCCCAGAGAGAGACCCGGGCAGCCCCGCGCCAGGCAGCTCGGGGTGCCGCAGCCGGCCGGCCGACCTGAGACAGGCTGCACCCACTGAGAAGCTGTCGCGGTGGCCCAAGGCCCTGCGCTTCTTGCTGCACCAGGACGTCAGAAGCCCTCGAGGCCCGAGCGAGCCGAGGCTGGCGATGAGTCGGGACATCTTTTGTGCCGACCCAGTGAGGCGGCGACACACATGCCGCAGGAGCCGTCAGGCGTGACAAGAGCAGTGGACACAGCCGTTCTTGTCCACATGGAAACGTCCCACACAGGGGCCTCTGCAGGGCTGCTCCTGCCTTCGGCCATTTGCCACTTGACTGGAGCCTTGCAGACGCGGCCGGGTCAGCTCCGTACAAGAGAAGCGAAAACGGAAATGGGGGCTGGGTGCCACGTTCCCCCAGTGACCGAGCTCACCATCCTGTTGGATGCTGAGCTCTTAGAGAAGAGATCTGGGGCCTGGGTTTCTCCGCCTCGGCCCTACTGACCTTCTGGGCTGGACAGGGCCACCTGCCCTAGTCCTGCTAAGGGTTCCCCGGCCTCCCTGGCTAGATGCCTCCAGACCTTGCTGAATGTCCCCAGAGGAAACTTCCCTCTGGTTGGGACACAGTCCTGCTTCAGTGGCCACCTGTGGGCACGGGCCCCTGCCGTCGTTCAGCTCTTGGCTGAGCATCTGTTATGTTCCAGGCTCAGCGAGGCTCTGGGGATTCTGCAGGTATGGACTCTGCAGGTCCCCAGGTGGTGGCCCTGGCAGGTGAACAGTGTCCTCTGAGGATGCTCACGCCGGGACCGAGGGCGATGACATCCTGTCGTCTCCACACTGAGATCAGTGCCTGCCTTAAAGCAGACACCGCACGGGAGTTTATGGGATGAGAGGGGGACAAGGAGGCGGGGTGGGGGGCTGAGGAGCGAGAGGAGGTGGGAAGAAGACAGGCTGGGGGACCCGGTGCCCCGGCTGTGCCTCCCGCAGCAGTTCCGTCACTCTAACATGCGCTCCCTGGTCTGTCGGTGGACTTGGGGACGCCTGTCTGCCAGCGAAGGCGAAGACCCCAGGGCCACTGGGTTATTATGAAGAGAAGAGGCTAATTGGGCTTATGGCCTGATCCAAGGTCGGGGGGCACATCTGGTGATGCCCTCTTGCTGGCAGTCCTGGGGCCACACAGGGGGCAAAGGACGAGAGACAAGAGGGGTGCCTGTGTTGCTGGTCTCTCTTCTCCTAAAGCCACCACGACCAATCTTGGGGGCCACACCCTGATGGCTTGGTCTGGTCCTCAAAGGCCCCACCTCTAAACAGCAAGCTCCAGTCGGGATTCACTTGGGCGCGCACCTCCAGGGGTGGCCCCCCACATTGTAACCGTGGCCTCTGCTGGAGAGAGCCTCCGCCGTGACGCAGAACCCGGGGTGGGTCTCCCAGGAAGGAGGGCGGCAAGGTGGGCCAGTCAGGGGGCCCGCAGGCCAAGGGGAAGGAGGGCATCCACGTCTGTGCGGGGGCCTAATGTCGTGTGTCCCTCTGCTGCAGCTGAAGAGGCAGAATTGCCGGAAGAGCTTCCCGTGGCCACCCCATTGGAGAACAGTACCAAAGAGACGGCGTGCGACCACCTGATGTGAGTACCCGAGGGCGCCCAGGGGCACCGGGGAGCTAGAGCAGACCCGGAATCCCCCAGCTTTGGCCAGGTCTCCAGAGCCCAAGGAAAGGAAACGGGTCCTGAGTTTTCTCGATGCCATTATATTACATTTCTC